CAAGAAATTGGCATTTACGAATGGCACAATAATTACAGAAAAATAATGAAAATGTCAAAAATATCATTTATATTTTATTATATTAATTATGTATATTATTTTAAAATAATTATAATAGCTTTCGTTTATATATTTATTTTATTATATATAATTCTTAAAATTTATTATTTTAAATAAAAAAATTAGTATTTAGAAATTTTGTATATAAACCCCAAAATTCCGCTTTGATATAAGAATAAGATAGATGAGTCTTTAGAAAAGACGTCTAAAATCTTGTAATAATAAAACTCCACCTTTATATTTTTAACCTTTATCGTATTCCATAAATCTTGAATAATAACCAACTATACAAAAAATCGTATTTATTAAGAAAATGTGAAATAACCCTATCTAGATAGGCTTAAGTTTAATTTAAATCATTGTTTGGTTAATCGAGTTACAAAATTGGTGATTCCTGCTAGATGAAAACCATTATTGAAAGTAATTCAGAAAAAAATTCTAAATTATGAATGTATTTGGAATTTTACTACAAGTTTCAAGAAGACCATATCGAATAACATAGCAGAAAGCAAAAAAACTTTCAATTGACTACCTGTCTGATTTGTTACCATATACCAGAGCAATCACCTATAACTTTAATAATTTTTGGAATTGGGTTAATGCAAAATATGAAGCTATAATTTATACTAGTAAACGATATTGTTCTTTTAACAACTTATGGAAAAGCTCCCTATCAAACATTTACAGTTTGACATTAAAAATTAATATAAATAGCTTGACCTTCAAATCCTTAGATCAATTTTGTTCACTTCATCCTTAGGATAATTGAATCTGCCTAAAACTCTAATAATTTTAAAATCAAATGAAAACCCGTTATATCCAATTGTACCATTGAAAATAAATTTGATTTTAACTCCAATGGACAATATCAGAACTGGAACACATTTAAAAAAAATTTTTTATAGGTAGGAGTGACTTTATTATTTATTATTCAATCAGTCATACAATCACATTTTAATAAAACTTGAATATTAAAAAGATTATTGCAGAAAACACGTAGTAGGTACTAAAAAAGTTTGTTTAGAAGTTTAAATATTGTAGAATATTTATTGGAGTATTGAATTTTTAAAGATCAGGTTTGATATCCATTAAGGAATAAGGTAAATTTGGTAAACAATTTATTTGTGTGTCAATACACCGGATTAATTTTAAGGAATTGGGTAAAATTGGTAGAATAGTTATTAGGGTATTAGAGCAATCAAGTTCTGTTAATGAGTCTGGTAAAGTTGGTAAGCTATTTATTGCAGTGTTATAGCATCTGAGTTTTGTTAAAGAGTTGGATAAAGTTGGAAGGATTGTAATTTTAGAATTAGAGCAATCAAGTTCTGTTAAGGAATTTGGTAAAGTTGGTAAGCTATTAATTTTAGTTCTAAAACAACGGAGTTTAATTAAGGAATAGGGTAAAAATGGTAGGATAGTTATTTTAGTGTTAGAGTAATCAAGACTCTTTAAGGAGTGTTGTAAATCTGGTAGGATAAATATTGGAGTATAAGAGCAATTAAGTTCTGTCAAGCATTTGGGTAAATCTGGTAGGCTATTTAAAAGGGTTTGATAGCAAATTAGTTTTGTCAAGGAGTTGGGTAAAGTTTGTAAGATAGTTATTTGTGTGTAAGAGAAATCAAGTTCCGTTAAGGAGTAGGGTAAAATAGGTAGGATAGTCATTGGAGTATGAGAGAATTTAAGTTCCATTAAGGAGTTTGGCAAATTTGGTAGGATAGTTATTGGAGTATTATAACACCAGAGTTTAGTTAAGGATTGGGGTAATGTTGGTAGGCTATTTAAATGAGTTTCATAGCAAGTAAGCTTTGTTAAGGAGTTGGGTAATATTGGTAGGATAGTTATTGGAGTATAGGAGAAATCAAGATCCGTTAATGAATTGGATAAAGTTGGTAGGATAGTTATACGTGTACCGTAGCAATGAAGTTCTTTTAAGGAATTAGGTAAAGTTGGTAAGCTATTTAATTCAGTGCTAAAACACCAGAGTACCGTTAAGGAATTGGGTAAAGTTGATAGGAAAGTTATTTGAGTTTTATAACACCAGAGTATAGTTAAGGAGTTGGGTAATGTTGGTAAGCTATTTAATTTAGTCCGATAACATTTGAGTACCGTTAAGGAGTTGGGTAATGTTGGTAGGATAGTTATTGGAGTATCAGAGCAATCAAGTTCCGTTAAGGAGTTGGGTAATGTTGGTAGGATAGTTATTTCAGTATCAGAGCAATCAAGTTCTGTTAAGGAGTTGGGTAATGTTGGTAGGATAGTTATTTCAGTATAAGAGCAATCAAGTATTGTTAAGGAGTTGGGTAAAGTTGGTAGGAAAGTTATTTGAGTTTTATAACACCTGAGTATAGTTAAGGAGTTGGGTAATGTTGTTGGTAGGATAGTTATTGAAGTATTAGAGCAACTAAGATAAGTTAAGGAATTGGGTAAAGTTGGTAGGAAAGTTATTTTAGTTTTAAAACATATAAGTACAGTTAAGGATTCGGGTAATGTTGGTAGGATAGTTATTAGAGTATCAGAGCAATCAAGTTTCGTTAAGGAGTTGGGTAATGTTGGTAAGCTATTTATTTTAGAATTTCTACAATACAATTTTGTCAATTTTCGATATCTTTGCAATCCGCCTAAGACGTTTAATATGTGGTTCTTATTATATTTCGTAATCATCAAACTTTCAGTAGTTTTATCATAAATAATATCTGATACTTCATTATTTGATTCTATTTCTTCTACATTCTTATGACCAGCCAAATGATCAATATTATCAATAATTCCGGAAGTATTTGATACATAATTATTCGTTATATCAAATCGAACAATTTGAGAACTAGAAGTAGTGATGTTATCCAAACGATGTTGTTGAAGATTTGATTCATAATATTTCGTTTGATTATTTTCTGTTACACTTGTTGTCGTAATAATTGCATTTAATTTATCAACTACTTGATTCATTGATGGACGATTATCCGGATCATTATCCCAGCATCCTGAGATTAAATAAATAATTTAATAACCATTTACTTTATATTCTTAAAAACAAATTCATAAGCATATACTTACCAGTGTAAATGTTTACATAATCTTCAGGTGTGCCGGGAATGATCTTTTCTCTAAGTCCTCCTAAAATTTCGATAGCTAAACAAATGTCATATTCTTCATTCTTAACATAAAAAGGAAGATGACCGCTTGATATCTCCCATAACAGTACGCCAACACTGTAAACGTCACTCTTTTCATTAAATTGTGAAGTAATGTTACTACTTCGTTTGTTAAAGAGTGTTGGGTCAACGTAAGGAATTACTCCAAAAATTTTTGATTGATTAGTTGATGCATCAATTTTTTTCGATAATCCAAAGTCAGCTAATTTAATAACGCCTTGGTGAATTAGTACATTGCCGGAATGCTATCATATGCATATAAAAAATATTAGTTATTAAGCAGCAATATTCAGAAAAATATATTTATATTATATAAGATTACCAAATCACGATGCACAATTCCTTCGTTATGTAAACAAGAGACAGCACAAGCCAACTGGAATGCCAATTTGTATTTGTCCCCCCAAGATAGCTTATCAAAATTACTCTTCAAATAGTTTTTAAGCGCACCGCCGTCAGCATATTCCATTACTAACCAATATATTTTCAAATGATCATTTTGAATTTCTTATTTTTTTTAAAAAAAAATATTATATATTTAGTAAATTAATTAAAATTAAAATGCAAAATTCATTAAATATCCGCATTATTTAAGATTTATACCTTGGTTTGATGATGTAATTCCCAAAAAGCGAATGATATTGCTATGAAAATCAACTTCTCGTTGAAGTTTAAACTAAAAATTATTAAAATATAATTTTAGCTTGATATACAAAAAGATTTATACGAAATAACTTTTATTTTGTTATTACCTCATTAACAAATTGTTTAACAGTGTCATTGCTAAAGTTATGAAACGATTTTAACGCGAGATATTGATTTGAACTTTTCCAATTTACACGATAGACTTTTCCAAAGCTGCCTATACCAATCTTTTGAAAATTACTAAATTGTTTATAATCGTAGTATTTGATACTTTTTCTTGAAATAGATTCTTCAATCCAATTAATCAACTCATCCGAATTATTAGCAGCTCGCATGTTTATATATTAAACTTTGTATATAGCGAAATAAAATGAATAAATTCTTGGAGAAAAGAAATGCACTTTGTAGATCATTCAAAATTAATCAAATTTCTCAGCAGCCACCAGCATTTATTATGTTTCGATGATCTCGGATATTTATATTTCAGGGGACACTTCAAAAGTTTTTAAAAGAAATTTTTTTTTATTTACAAGACAAGAAAAAGATTTTATTTTTCATTTTTGTTTATTAGTTAGAAAAAATTGAACATTTATAATCAATTACCTTACAAGGACAGTATCAATGCAAATTTAAAAGATGCATAAATTCTTAACCAAATATAATGATTTTTAATAGTTAATTTTATATTATTTTATATTGAAAATTGAGTAGGGGATTGCTAATAATCACGGTCATGACCGTGATCAACACAAATGGAGATAATTTGGGTAACTATTAGATGCTATTATGGTTTGATTTTGAGAATTTTGACTAGCTGAAATAGTGATTCCGGTTAATATGGTTAACCGGTTAAATAATTAACCGCCAATTAGCCGGTTAATAATTAGCCGGTTCCAAAATTAGCTCTTATAATCATTTCAATAATATATTTTTTTTATTAAATTAAAATTTTGAAATTTTTAAAAAAAAAATAGTCTGCGATATACTGCGCCACTAAATATTACAGCTGATTTCATAGTATACAGGACACATGACAAATTTTTTACCGAGAACTTACCGGGTTGCCGGGTTGTCGGCAAATTGAAAATAAATAAACACGTGACAGTTGACATTTTTTACGCGTTGTAAATGTCTAAATACTGCCTAATATATTATAATAGTTGAAAGGACACTAGAAGGTTTATCATGTAGGACAATAGCAAGACAATTCAATATCAGCAAGTCTTCTGTTTCCAGAGTTTTAAAAAGTATGTGTGTCAAAGATTTACTGCCATTAAAACCAGGAAGGTCAAGAATTTTTAAAGTTGAAGATACAAAATACTTTTGAAAGAAAAGGTTGATTGTATTTGTCGGAACTACAATCTGAAATGGAGTTATGGTTAGACCATCAAAATTCTTATTGTGCAATTTGGAGAGCCATACATCGGCTTGGCTAAACACACAAACTAATAAAAATTTACATGTGTAATTTTATATTCAATTTTTATAAATGTAATTTCATAATTAATTATTAATCTTGTTTATTTTTACTCTATGAAAAAAAAATTCTGGAGTTTGTCCAGAATTTGCCATAGTAGCCAGATAATGTCCGGAATCCACCATGTTTCGATATAAATTCCGGACAATATCAAGACATCATGCGATGTTCGGAATCCACCATGTTTTGGTACACTTTCCGGACGATTTTGACATTTTCTGGACATTTTCCACATGCACCCAGACATTTTCGATAACATTTTCTGGACAATTTTTTTTATAGGGTTAGTTATCTAAACCAGCACATGAACGTAATGAACGTGAAAGATTAAATTTTATAAAATACATGTCACAATATTCTCATTAAACTTTGTATTTTCTGATGAGTTTACCTATGATTGAAGAATGCCTTTCGTCATTTTGGATGGAATTTTTAGAGGGATACATGTACGAAAACTTAAATTTTATATTTGTAGAAAGAGATTTACCATAGAAGTAGGATTATGTTTATATAGTCTTTTAGCTTATATTATTTAAGAAGGGTCTATAAATAGTTTTTATTTTGTTAAACATACCTTAATAATTATCAGTTATATGATATTTATAGTGATACATAATAATAACAAAATGAATATGTATCCAGGCTATAGTGTTTTGATATTGGATAATGCATCTATTTATGAAGGGCAACATTTAGTTGATATTTGTAATTCAAAGGGAGTATGAATAAAATTTTTACTATTATATTCACCGGATCTTAATCCAATATGTAATATTATTTTTGATTTAAAATGATATAATTTATTAGTTGTTTTAATTACTATTAATTATTTATTTACTAATGCTAACAATAAATTTTTTACATAAAAATTATTTACGTTAAAATAATAATTGGATTAAATCTATGCAAAATCCTATATAAGGCTTAAATTTTACATGTATGACTATTAATAAAGATTTATTTAGAGCTTGATTTAAATATAGTAGATATATTTAAATTAAATATATCAATTAATTTTATTAATTATTATTGAATAATTAAAAAAATTTATGATTTTATTTTCATCAAAAAGTTCATTGAAATTAATAGTTATTTTTTTATTTTTATTCATAAATGAACATGTGCTTCACTAAAACTTCTTTAATTAATTGCTTAAATAAAAATTCTCTTCCATTTATATCAAGTATAGATTTAGTAATAAATTTTTTCCTTCTAGTAGACCCATTGGAAATACAAATTTAATAAGATCTTAAAAAGTCATTTTTTTTAGTTGAGTGTTTGTTTTATATGGTGATACTTTTTAAGATAAAATGGTTATTAAATTAGGTTTTACTTTTTTTGAAAATTTAATTGAAATTATAAATGTCAAATTATTAAAATATAATATTATATAATAAAACATAAAAATATTAATTTGATACAAATATAATTTACTATAAATAATTATATTATCATTATAAATTCCAAAGGTTTTTTAGAAATTGAATAACAATAATTAATTTATCAAAATATTTAGCTTAATAGTGGATTTGTTGTATTGACTTCATTAATTTTAGCAATCTGAATAATATAAATTTTATTAATTGGTTAAATTTTATAATTAGAACAATTAGAATACTAAAATTTTAATTATTTATTATTGCTCTTGCCTAAATTTTAATTATATTATTATTTAATTTAAGATGACATCTATCTTTTGCAATCAAACATCCTTAAATATGATATTTATATTTAACTTTATAGTTTTTAATAGCGAACAAGAAAAATTAGATTCTGATTTTTATTAAAATAATTTTTTTTAAATATAAATAAATATAAATTATATATATTAAATACATAATAATTAAAATATAGATACAAATTTTTTTTATATAGATATTTTTACATTATCCTCCATTATAGAACTTTAACAAACTATTTATTTTCTTTTAATTTATTTTGCAGAATATACACGTAATTATATATATATTTTATTTGCATTCTAAAATAAAAGCCATAATAGCATCACTTGATTTAAGATTATAATGATACACTATAGTATAGAAAGATTTTTGATAATATATAATTCAAGTTTTTAAATGTATAAAACAAACTAGCATAATATACTTAATTAAAAATTTAATTTGTAAATTCATATAAATAATTATCACTATATAGCTGTTTGTATCAGGTAATTTCACTTTATATAGTGTTAGTTATGACCATTCCCAAAAAGGAAGGAATAGGTATAAATTTAGTTAGTAACAATGGGGGCCGTTTTTAATATCAATATTTATATCAATATCAAATATTAATATTAATATTAATATTAATATTAATATTGATAGGAACAACGGTTGTTTAAATATGATTTTAAAAAAAAAATTGGGGCAGAAGGATCATATGAATAAATAAAGAAAGTTTTTTTGTAATTTTTATTATGTAATTATGTAAAAGAATAAAATAAAATAAAAAATAATAATTACGATTACTAATATTTAAAGTAATGATAAAATCAAAGAATTCGTCAAAAACCTATGCTGCGGTAACGAAAATAGATAATTCCAGCCAAAGGGACGAACTGATCTAGCCTAAAAAAAAATAATGTTGAGAATAATAATAAAATAAAGAACAATGCATTAGAAAAATAATTTTAGTCGTCACCGATCAATTCCGGTCTGATCTAACCTAAAATCGCCTAAGAAAAAAAAAATATATCAAAAATAATTAGTCAGTTTACCTTCGCCGAGGTGACGAACCCGACAGTTCCGTTCGAAAGTTCCATCCGGATCTTAGACTAAGGGACGGAACCGATCGGACCTAAATAAAAGATCAAATATTAAAATTATTAAAAAAAATAAACTAAAAAAAAAATCGACGACATACCTTTGCCGCAGTGACAAACCGGACCGTTCAACCCTATATACAATATATACACATGTGTTTCTTTCAAATATTAAGGTCGGCCCCTGGCCGGCCATAACCATGAATCTAGTTTCACTTTTTAAAATCAAATACGTAAAAAAGTATCATATCAGTAAAGTTTATCAACGGTCTCATGGAAATAAAGAGTTCATTTATAAGGCATAAAGACGAGGCGAAATGACAAAGGTCGGAACCATAAGTTTTCGATTTTGAGCTTTCGACGATTTTATAGCTTAATAAGGAATTAGTGTTTTTTTTTTAATTAATTTTATTTATCGAATAAAGCGCTTGGGATGTTAAAAACGAGCTATTATTAACGATAATTACAAAATGATAATTTCTAGAAGCCCTAGAAATTATCTTTATTAGACTTTGTAACTTACCTTACGATCAATGATGTGTTCTGTAGCCAAAATGTATCTCCTGGCAGAATTTTACATGCATACCATACCCAATCTTCCTGTAGGCATATTGCCCTCTAATATTTCGTTTATATTATAAATTTTATTTTGTTATTTTCATAGTTTTAATTAATTAGCAATTAGTATTAACATTTATTGTGTTTAATAAAATTGGAATTGCGAAAGTCGAAGTTGAAGGCAACACTTAATTAATTTTATTAAATAGTCTTCAATATCTTTTATTAATCATTCTGCTTACAAATACAAATTGTACCGTGTCTCCTTTATGTACTTAATTCATGAGCAACCTTGATAGACAATATGCTATAGCATGACCGTGTTTCTATGAAATTCCTCTAAATTAACTTAATAGATAAGGAATATCGTCAAAAATGTTGAAGAGTTATTTCTTTTGGACTAGTTCATTTAATTTTTATATCTAACTTTTCTAACAAATTTATTCTTTAGCAGTCGTTTACCTTTGAGTTCACGACCGCGATGAATTCAATGTCCTTTTGATCTTATCCTTCCGATAAGTATAATCATTTAGTTTTGATTTATGTCTAATAAAATTTATTTATTTTTTTTTTATTTACAGAATATTTCAAATTTATATTAGCCTCAATACAAAATACTGTGTATATATATTTTTTTTTAATTTTGCATAATATTTATTTATTTATTATCAGTTGGAAATTTATTTTTCCAGCTTTGAGGAAATTTTTGGGTTGCGATTTGTATTGCGCACCATCCTCATCGCGAGTTAGTATTATACTATTAATTTAACAGTTATCACAAAATCAAATATGATTTTTATAGAAATATTCCTGGTTCAATTCAATTTTCATTCAATCAATCTCTTGCAGATCCTATCAAATTGCCTTGGAATAATATGAAGTTAAATTTCTGGTAAATATTTTCTTTGGTATTATCTAAGATAGGTTCAAAATTCGTATATTTGGAAAGTGTTCTATTTCGAAACATTATGACACTTTGAAATGGAAATAAGAGAAACTTTTGTCAAATTTTCGTAAAAAAAAAAAAGAGTAGTTAAAAATTAAATTCGAACTCCAGAAGGAGGAATTACTGATTTGAATTCGTTCGTAAATATATTCGATTATAAAATTTATATTTATCAAGTAGCTAAAAATAAAATACTGTGCTTACACAAGTTGAAAACGCAGTAGAAACTTTATATGAAGTAAATATACTTACGGAAATGGCAAATATCAATTATTTTACATGTATTCCTTTATCATTGTACAACATACACCCTACAAAAACACCCTAATTTTTCGTATTTATCAGACAACTAGAGATGCAATTATTGAGGGACTTCAATCACTTAATTCATTGCACAAAATATCAATAATTTAAAGACATTTTATTTTAAAAATAAAGCTTCAAAAACTTATTAAATGATGATAGACAAATAATGCGATGATTTGAAAGCAGCCAAACAAATTATTTTTTATCTAATTAGAACAAAAAATTTTTTCCGATTCAAATTATCACCATTGGTTATTTTTATTAGTTACCAACTAGATTAGGTTGGAGCGCGGCGACTTTGTCGCAGCTAGTTATGGTTTTTATACTGCTTTATAATAATATATCCTTTATTAAGTTATCGCCGTGACGAGCCGAAGGGTGACGCGCTCACATTCGTCCGGCCCTAACCTATAAAATCGAAAAAAATATTAATTAACAACAATAAAATAGACAATATAACATACCTGACTGCGCCTTTGCAATAACCAAATCTACTTATCTAACCTATAAAATCAAAAATCGAAAAAAATAAACAAAATTATTAATCAATAATTAACTTATTATTAATTAAATCAATAATCAACAAGAGTAGACAATACATAATATTAGAAAAAAAACAATTTCATTATGCACCAAATCTTTTTTTTTTTTGTAAATAATATTTAAACAACCTTTATTCCTTGAGGTAGATTCCTCTCTTACCTACCTTTACCTTATCCTCTATCTCTTAGT